ATATGGGGCCCGGATCACTGCCCTGTACACCGAGCTCGAATTTCCCACATTCGTCACCGTCCGAGTCACCGTGGTGGAGTTTCTGAGAGCTGGTACTGTAATGCTCGGTAAATTCAAATCCAACACCGACGACCTCTGTGAAGGGCACTCTGTTTTCTGCTCTGTTAGTTGAGAAATATCTGAATTCTTATACCCCATGCCGCACAAGTAGTATTTGACATAGTCTGCAATGGCTAGATCGTAGATGAGACCTGGGTCTGCGGCGGCGTTGGGGTTCACCAATCCGCCGCCGTAGTCAAATGGGTCGGCCAGCTTGGGAGGTGAGCTCTCAGCCAAAATGGGCGCCCCTGAAGGGCCTTTTACCCGTGCTGCATTGTGAAAATGAAAATGGTGGTTAACCATTTATAAAGTCTTCTCTTTTATTATATAAAATTGAAATATATGTATTACCAGTGGTGCTGAKGGCTGATCTAATGGCGGCGGGTGACCAAGTGGGATGCAAGGATTTAAGGAGAGCCACAATGCCAGAGATATGAGGTGCGGCCATGGAAGTTCCTGATTGGAATGCGAATCCTTTGTCGCTAAAGGGGTTGCGCGGTGAAATGGCAGCTAGAATGTTGGACCCTGGCGCTGCTATATCCGGCTGCTCTCCAACACGCATCTCAAAATCAATTTAACTATTATAATGGTGGAACTTATTGGAATCAAAAGAAAAGAAAAATATACCTTTAGAATTGCGGGAGAGGCAGAATTAGGACCTCTAGATGAGAAAAAAGCTACATTGGTTGATATAGGCTTCCCCACGATGGTTSTTGCACGCCCTATCCTCACCATTGGATTACTTCACAAAATCAAAAACAAAACTTACTACTATTCATTTTTGTTTGAAACCAAAAATTGAGTGAATATTATTCCATTAGGCATCTAAGTAGGAGGAAAATGTTATCATACGTGACATCCCGTATGCATAACACATTCCTTTAGTATTAAAATGATGAATTAATTAAATTACCTGGTGTCCAAGWGGTAGTGAAAAAATTTAGTACCAACATCAGGATCTAGTACGATGCATGGAAAGTCAGCACCACATGGGAACAAGATGTCGTCGTGTTGGCCGGCCACGATTATCCCGTTCCCATTTGCTTGTCTCACCGCCACAACCGCCTTTTGTGTCATCTCAAGATCTACTAATTTATTAAAGCAGAGAACTATGTTTCCACTCAGCGAAGTGTCGTTCCCCAAAATGTCCTTGCATGAACACAACCTGCAATCACACCACCGCCAACAAAACCAAAGAATTATTATTCAAACTCAATGATTAATGAGAAAGAATAAGTGAAATAAGATCAAATCGGAAGATGTGGTGTTTTTAATTTCTAATTAATTAGATTCCTATTACTCATTATAGAAAAAAAAATTTTAAAAATCATTTTTGCATTTATCTCTCATAGGTTTAATGGTCGTAAGGGAAAAGTTGCTCATTTTCAATGAAAAATGGGAGAATGTCGATGAAAACTAACCTTCTACGGGTGGAACACACCAACTTGCCGACAATGTCATTTTCTCCGGCAAAGAAGCTTTGGCCCTATAAAAAAAAATGAAAAAAAAGACCATAAATTAATTTTAATGCAAATTAAACCTTAAATCTGATACAAGTTTATTTAGGAAATATACTTAAAGTTACTACCGTTAACAAGTTATCTCTATCACTACCATGCAATGCAGCTCATCATTTTTCAAAAAGAAAAATTATCTGCTTTAACATTTATTTTCTATTAATTTTGTCAAACATACCATGGTAGTTAGTATTAGATAGGCCCTTACCGATAATGACCCAGAGTATTTTAACTTGATGAGACTATATATGTATATATAGGCATACCAAATGAGTGGTGTTATCTCCAAGAGTAACGGGCGCAAGAAAAGCTCTATCAATTGTAGAGGCAGCCACAGTGAAAATCCAAGGCGCAGTGTTGACAATGGTCTGCTTATCGGGGCCATCATTTCCACCCGCACACACCACAGAAATTCCCCTCGCAGTCGCATGAAACGCCCCAATCGCCACCACGCTGTCCTCGCTAAACTCAGGGGAAATAGGCACCCCACCAAACCTGAGCGACAGAGACAACACATCCACGCCGTCGTGAATGGCATCGTCCATGGCCATTAATATGTCCGCTCCCGACCCTGCCCCCTCCGACCACAGCACCTTATATATGGCCAAGCACGCGCGTGGGGCGCCGCCCCGCACCGTGCCGGCGCCGAGGCCCTGGTAGTTCACGTTCGGCACAAAAGAGCCTGCGGCTGTGCTGGCGRYRTGGGTTCCGTGTCCKTKGAAGTCYCTTGCGGATRAGTACTCGTTCGCCAGTGCCKSCTGCCCMMYGTCAGCAATKAAGCCTTTATTGTACCAACGCGCGCCTATGATTTTTCTGTTGCAGTTTGTGGAGTTGAATTCTTCTCCTGATTCGCACTTGCCTTTCCATCGTGATGGCACCGGCCCCATTCCTTCATCTCTGAAAGCTTCCGACTCCGGCCAGATTCCTGATTCAAACAAGAATTAAACTTCACAATTTTCTTTCTAATTTGTTTCGTGAAAAGCTTCCGACTCGGAACATTCTTAAATGTCTGACAACTAATTAGCGTAAAAATACAAATAATGAGCTGTTAGTTTTCACGAGAGGGAGAGTTGTACCTGAATCAAGGACGCCTATAATGACATGTTCGCCCATTTTACCGCGATGAAGAAGGTTGGAGGATTGTGAGGGAGAAGTTGAGAGCCCAAGGAAATCCCAACTTCTTGTAGTCTGCATTTTGTAAAGCGAATTTGGAAGAACTCGAACCACGCCCGCCATTTCTGAAGTTCAATTCGTTCGTACCACCACAAATTGTTTTTTTTTAGTGATGAAGGCTTAAATTACAAGTTTACTTCTTTAATTTTCTGAATTAATTTTAATATAATACTTTAAAACTATTACTAAGCATATATCAAGAGTTGAAAATACAAGAGGCTTAATAAAMATTTATAATATAAATGAACTATTTCTCTCTTAATTCAATTTATTTTTGTTGGGTTTGTAAGGAGTGCAAACAAAGTTCCACATTGGATAGAGAAGTGAATGATCATGAGTATAGAGAGGACAATTATCTCTTGATATGAAGCCTCTTGGATGGAACCGAGGGGTACCGTTTCCTCAACAAGTGATATCAGAGCCATGAAAACATAGACAATACTCTATCTCTTATTATTGTGTGTGGCTTAGGTTTTACTACCAAATTATGGAAGGAGAAAATATTAGTGGTGAGTAAATTTTTCCAACAAACCAAGATTAGTAAGCCTAAAAAAGCAACCATCCTAAGGCGGTTAAAAGATTTATTAGGAAAGATTAAAAAATTGGGGCAACTTGAGATATGACAAAAAAAGTTAGGAAAATAAGCAAAATAGCAACAAGTTTGAGTTTTTCAAATATAGCTGGCAAAAAAACGGAGGCCCACATTATAAATTACAAATATACCCTGCAGACTCGAACCAATAATAAATTACTTCTGATTGACTTCTGATATACTAATGATTGACAGATATACTCCTGATATACATGTGATATATGTTTGATATACATATGGTATGAAATTGATTTACTTCTGATATAACTATGATATCTACTACTATATGTGACATAGAATTGATTGACTTCTGATATACTATTGATTTACTTATGATATAACTATGATTGACAGATATACTCTTGATATAAATGTGATATATATTTCATATATATTTGATATGAAATTGATTTACTTCTAATATAACTATGATATATACTACTATAGGTGATATAGAACTGATTGACTTTTGATATACTATTGATTTACTTATGATATAACTATGATTAACAGATATACTTCTCTTATATATGTGATATATGTTTGATATACATATGATATGAAATTGATTTACTTCTGATATAACTATGATATCTACTACTATAGGTGATATAGAACTGATTGACTTCTTATATACTATTGATTTACTTCTAATATAACTATGATTAACAT